GGCAATTGGTAAATGTAATATTATGCTGGGGTAAATTTAATTTGTTCGTGTCGTTTGTTTTGAAAATATGACAAAATGGTAGAATTCGTACGGTAATTTGGTAAAGTAATATTAAACTTACAAATTATCCTTTACATTTACCAAATTTTTTCTCTCTGTGTGGTAAATGACTTATCATTTATGTATTTTTCTATTTGAATGCATCCAAATTTTTCAGAAAACTGATTATTTTATTGTTCAAAGTCCAAATCTTATCAGACTTTTGTATTATTTAACAATATTGTGTGCATGTGTCGATATATTTTTTTTTTGTTTAACAAGAAAGCAGTATAAATCATTTGGTCTCACATATACATTTTACGACCGTTAAATAACGGTGACATATGATTGTGTTGAGTCACAATAAATATCCGGTTTTATGTATCAAGAAAATATCACGTCAGATTTCAAATTCACTATCTATAGATATTACAAAATCTATATTATAAAAACGAAATGCCATTCTTTTGTCCTTAACTCCTCTCACAATTTTCAACCGATCTGAACCAAACTTTACACCCTTATACTTTGGACCGAGATCTAGGTCACCATGAGGTTTTGGACCAAATTGGACTACTCCATCACGGTCGATTTTTATTTTTTAAATATTTGTATGGGCGATGTCAAAATTTGTAAATTTCATGATCAAGTTCGGATTCCTCGGCCCAAAATTATGGGAGAGGGGTACTTTTGAAGTTGGTTTAACAGCCATCGTTGTCTAATATGAGTTAAAACGTTTTATCACCGTTATCATGTTTTAACAACTTTTAACATCTTTTAACACGGTAAATGAGGTCAAAAGCATGGTCCATCATGGTCTAACACGATTTAACACGGCAAATGAGGTTGGAAATCATGGAACATCATGGCCAAACAACATTTATCACGGTTATTGAGGTCGGACAACATGGTAAATCATGGCCTAACAACATTTAACACGGTTATTGAGGTGGAAAATCATGGTACATCATGTTCCAACACGATTTAACACGGTTATTGAGGTGGGACAACATGGTACACCATGGTCTAACACGATTTAACACGGTAAATGAGGTTGGAAATCATGGAACATCATGGTCTAACAACATTTAACATGGTTATTGAGGTCGGACAAGATGGTAAATCATGGTCTAACAACATTTAACACGGTTATTGAGGTGGGACCGTGAGACAACATGGTAAATCATGGTCTAACACGATTTAACACGGTTATTATGATGGGACAACATGGTACATCATGGCCTAACAACATTTAACACGGTTATTGAGGTGGGACAACATGGTAAAGCATGGCCTAACAACATTTAACACGCTAAATGAGGTTGGAAATCATGGAACATCATGCCCTAACAACATTTAACACGGTTATTGATGTGGGACATCATGGTACATCATGGTCTAACAACATTTAATACGGTAAATGAGGTTGGAAATCATGGTACATCATGCCCTAACAACATTTAACACGGCTATTGAGGTGGGGCAACATGGTAAATCATGGCTTAACAACATTTAACACGGTTATTGATGTGGGACAACATGGTAAATCATGGTCTAACACGATTTAACACGATAAATGAGGTTGGAAATCATGGAACATCATGGCCTAACAACATTTAACACGGTTATTGAGGTGGAAAATCATGGTACATCATGGTCTAACACGATTTAACACGGTAAATGAGGTTGGAAATCATGGAACATCATGCCCTAACAACATTTAACACGGTTATTGAGGTGGGACAACATGGTACACCATGGTCTAACAACTTTTAACACGGTTATTGATGTGGGACAACATGGTACATCATGGTCTAACAAAATTTAATACGGCTATTGAGGTCGGACAACATGGTCCATGACTTAAAATTGATATTAATATTGAATGAACAAAATTTAATAAAGTCAAAATCTATAGAGATAGTAATTTCAGAGATAGGAATTATAATAACATGCCTAGCCGAGCGAGTGGAGCGAGCGTGCCGTAGCGAGCGAAGCGAGCGGAGGCCGGCTAGTAACTTATATTAAAAAAATCGCTGATTTTCATTCGCTTTGCAGAAAAATTAATCCATTTTATTTTATTGTAATAAGTTAACACACACGAGTCTTCTCACTCGTTATAAAAAAACACAAATGTTTGTAAATAATATAACAATATGTGTATGTTGGACTTAAGAGTAATATTTTTGTTTTTAATAAAATTGTAATGAAAAAATAATTTTCCTAAAATTTGTTAATATAAGGCAATACAGTCCATTAACTCGAAAATTGATTTAGTCTTAAGGCAGTGAGTTTGTATGTATATTATTTATTATTATTTAGCTATGCTACAAGTCTTAATAGTTTTTGAGACCAGTTCGTTTTTCTCGTATCGATATGTGGTTTGAATGTTATTCTCAATGACAATTTTTGTGGTAGTTTGTTGGCCATCTTTCCCAAATTTTGAAAATGTTGTTTTTGTTTATGTTCCTTTTTGAAATACGTCGTTACTGAAACGATGGCCTGTTTAAATGAGACGAAATATTAGAAAGCGAAAAGAAGTACTTTCATAGTAAATTTCTGTTATTTACAGGCAAATACACCAAACCTTTTGCATTTTTGTTATTGTTGTTGTTGTTAATAATATTATTGTTCGTATTAATTTCGGTGAAAGTCTCGAATGGATCCCACATAAATGACATAAAATTGCGTGGTTCTTTGCGATTTGATGCGGAATCATTTGCTTGTCGTGTAATATTTTGACCAAAGTGTTTTGATCTCACACCTGTGTTTTCTTCATCCTTGAAAAAACCGTGGAATATATCGTGTGCTGATTTAAATTTAAAAAATGGTGATGTAGAAAACGGATCGGTTGCTGAACGCCAGCGATGATGATGTGTGGTACGACGTGCATCATGCCGTAATTTTTTATCATAAGTTAGTCGTTGTATTTGATCCGATAGCACCTGATATGCTTCACATATTTGTTTAAATTTGTTCGTTGCTTCGATGCTATTGCTGTTCTTATCAGGATGATATTTCAGAGAAAGTTTTTTATATGCTCTTCGAATTTCGGCGTCGGTAGCGGTCGGTACCAATTCAAGCATCTCATAATAAGATGCCATTTTTGTATTCGTTCTTCTTATTTGAATCAAATCTACAGCTGTGCGATAAACGCTTGTTTCTTTTGTTCTTTGGAATTGTCAATGAAAATAGCTTTCAATTTATAGCGTAATTCGTTGTCTGTACTACATAAATAAGTTTCAGTTGCCGAATCTGTTAGATTACATCACCTGCAAATAGAATAATGATGAAAATGAACAAATACAGAACTTTTGACATTTCAAAGTATTTTATTGTTGTTGTTGTTGTTGTTGTTAATATTTTTATGTACTTTTGACACGAAGAAACAGCCATGAACAGCAATAAGAAACAACAAAAAAGCAACAAAAAATGACATTACACAAATGTGTATCACAGTCACACTCACTTTTCACAGTTTATTGAGATATTTTCTGTTTTAATTCCAATAATTCAACTACTCGATAAAAAAAAACGAGTGTGATACTTTTAATTACCACGAACAGAAAATATTATGAGCAATGAGGCGCCAACTTTTTATTTCTTTGTTGCTCGGTAAGGAAATCAATTGAACCAAATATGAAGAAAAAAAAATTCCATTGCTTAGTTAGTAGCTTTTTGTTTGTGACTTAACAATGACTATACTAAATGCACTTTTAATACTAAACTTTTAATGCTATTGATGCATCTATTTTATTTGCATTTTGGGACAATTTAAAGCCAAAAAAATTAAAATGGGAAAGAACTAATATGGATGATTCAAACTGGAATTCTGAACAACCACGCTGATGTTACCGCCACTGCATTACCAGTTATTTGTGCACGATACACACTCCCGTTTCATTGAGTCTCTTTAGTCATCGTTCACTGTTGCGTTGTTATTGTTGTTGTTGTTGATGATGATGATGTTTATATGTCTGTGTGCGTGCCGATTGTTTAACTGCGGCCCACAGTACGTAAACTGTTACCTGATTTCTTTTGTATAATTGTGTGTCTATCGCAATACATATAAAATTTGTTAAAACTTTTGCTTTTTATACGAATAAGTGGAGAAAAGAGACAATGACGTAGAGAGAAACGCGCGCGAACGCTTAAATACAAACACATAAATAATGATAGCCAAACGCATACACACAAAACTCGTAACAAGAGCAGTGAAGACTGAGACGCTCTTTCCCTCCATTTAACTCTACGTGGATCTTAACACACTAGCAACGTATTATTCTCACTTACATTCGATTTATGAATCATAAATTATGATTGTTTTCATTTCACTTTTAGATCAGATGTGCGGAAAGAGGGAAAGGAGGGTTTTTCCCATCCGACCGGGATATGCAAAACGAAAATATATTGGGTTTTGCCCCCTCCTTTCGGCAGCGCTAATGTTGAAGAACTGATTTAGTGTTTTGAGAGACCTGCATAAAGTTCTGTCTCTTGACTTATCAAATCTTTCGATTTGCTAGCGGTTCTCATTTTTTTTCTCTCGATTTTTTTAGGTGAAAATTCTTTCAACCCATCACCTCTCTGAATCAGAGAATATTATGAAATTATTTTTAAAAAATATTGTTCCATTTTTCGAGTTGTGTCTTTGTCCGAATATTAGAATAACACGTCGAATTCTTATAGTTTGGAAGTCTATAAATTAATTCGGAAAATTTGTTCGGACGTTTACAAATCTAAACAAGAAATCCACTTTTTCGGACTAATGACAAAATGGTTGGGTGACACCTTTACCTCTAATACATTTGTCTCCCTGAGACACCGAGGCTTGCACACAACCATCTGCAAAACTTTATGAATGCTCATAGTTTCTGATGTAAGCGATATAGAAAAATGTGGTGTGTGTTAAAATTTTACGAAAAAATTAAAGAGGCATTTCAAAAAAAACTCCTAGAAAATGGAATGAACAAAACCCACAGCAAATATTTTTCTTTTATTCCATTCGGATCAAAATTGATTGGGAGAGGGAGATTTTGGCTCAAAAATCCTAGCAAATTGTCTCTGACAAAAGTTAAAAAGGACCTCCTTGAACCTCGGGCCAGTAGCTATACGAATATCATATTCATTCACATAAATGTAGATTGCAATATGTTTGCGGTGAATGACGTGTAAATAAATAATAGTGCAACAAAAAAGACAAACTGCAAACGAATCGAAATAAAATGATTCGGGAAATCTTAAAAATAAAAGAAAAATTGTTAAAATTACCATCGAAATTCTGGCGGATAAAATCATTGCCCATTTGACACGGATGCAATGGCAAATAGAAAATAGTCGGATGTTCTCAAGTGTTCTGTCCCCTCATCGCGAGACCAACTCAATTTCAATATTAATATTTAATAATATTTTATTGTTTCGCCTGTTGACTCATCGCATGAAGAAGCACAATTATGAGTGAATGTTATCACGGGGGACGGCAGTCCCCCAAGTGACGCAATACCCACATACATATGAAATATGTATATTTTGCGTCACTCTATATATACGTTAAAGAAATGAAAATCGATACCGCTGACTTTTGGAAAGGGGTTTTTGCATATTTTAGTAGTGCTCGGGCACCAAATTAAGAATCCGCAAAAAAAATTAAAAAAATTGGCCGCCGGTGGCATTTTGAAAAAATCGCTGAAAATTCATTTTTTTCGATTTTTGACCACCGAAATGATTTTTCCAATTTTTTTTTTGGCCATATTCGGAATCTAGGGAGTGCGTAAATAATGTTAAAAAAAGATTATCATGATCGGTTGAAAAGTGGCCGACATATGGTCAACTTGCCAAAAATGGCCAAAAACCTCAAAATTGGCCGGTTGAGGTGTTTTAATGTCTGTCCGTAGTTTCTTTTAAATTGTGTGAAATTATTTTTTTTCGAAAGTAGACTGAAAATTGAGCAAACTAATTTCTCAGTTTTTGAGTTTTTCATCGATTGGACATTTTTCTGGCCATCTGTAAGGTACCACAATGATTTATACATCGTTGGAAAGGTAAAAGACTCACCTTTTCGGATCCGAAGTCAGAATGGAAAAATTTTCAAAAATGTCCGCCAGGTGGCGTGTTATGTGACATTTTCGGCGAAAAATGACCATGACTTTTTTCACGTGATCCAAATTTAAAAAAAAATGCGTCTATGAAAAAAATCAAAAAACTAGGCGTTTGTTAGGGACCAAATATGTGATGATTTGGCGTATGTGTCATATCTGGGAAAATTCGAATTTTTTAAAAAATACTCCGAAGTTGACTTTTTTTTTTCGGCAAATTTTCAATTTTTGGCCATTTTTGATCACAGGTATACGGGGTGTTTTTTTTACCAGAATCACGTCATTCTTAGCTTATTGGAAAGTCATTAAGGTCATCTTGATGAAGCAATAAAGAAATTTTGAAAAAAAAATTCAGCGGAAAAGGTTATATCAGAATGACTAGACCTCGAAAAATGGGGAAAAATCGATGAAAATCGAAGTTAATCGTCATTTATCTTGAAAAAATGTGTGTCTTGCTTCGATTTTTTCCTCATAGATCGAAAGCGCACTCAATTTTGAGCCGATATGCACATTTTGAAACGACATCATTCTTTTATTAGTTCAATTTTTTTTTGATTTTTCGGCTTGAAACCATCCTTTTGGAATAATATTTCGAAAAAATTGGTTTTTATTCGATTGCTATAAAAATTGGTATTTGGGGTTTTTTTGATAAGAGGAAACCAAATATGACATTTATTTTGCGGTAGAATTCGTTCATGCTACATTTCCTATACAAAAACCTTCATCTTTTGCCATTTTGAACATATTAACGGTAACCAAAATACTATCAAAACTATTGATATAATAAGTAAAAAACACTTCTTTCGAAGTTCCTACTGTGACGCAATACTGTAAATCTAAAAATGGTCTGATATAAATTTTCAGTGACGCGTTCACTCAAATATGTACAAAATGTTATTATTGCTCGGCCTCTTTCGCCGCAAAAAATTTGACAATGTATGGGGCCTATAGGTAATTTTTCACGAGGAATCCGAATATGTAATTAATTTTTGGGTTAGATGGGGTATGGACCCAATTTCAGGGTATTTTTCGAAATTTTCGTAAATTTTGTAGGGGGTCCCCTCTTGGGGGTGATGGGAGGGGATGGACAATGGCCTAAATGAAATGTGCGGACAAAATTAGTTATGGTTGGCCATACATTTGAGTTCGAAATTCCGCACCCAAAAAGTGAAAAATCGACTTTTTATCATTTTACCCTAATTGGGGGGCTCTGAATTGTTGGGAGACTTGAGGTGAATGGGCTCGAGACAAATATCATTTTTAGGGTAATTTGGGATGCTGATTCCGAATTTCGAAGTTTCGAGTGAAAAAAGTCATGGGTGAAGGAGTTATGACCCCCGACCCCCCTGGGGGGTGAGGGACTTGGAGGGCAGGGGTCATAAAAAATTTCTCTCGTCATTCTGAACAACTTTGTAGTACATTATTTTTTGATCCGACCAAATTTTGACATGGTGGGGTACTCCCCTGCCCCCCCTAATTCGATTGGGCCTCCCTTATTTTCACAAATTTATTTTTTCGGCATATTATATAGATCTGTATAGGTGACATCAAAAACTTTTAGTAACACTTTGGGTACTTTACTGGTTAGTTGAATATGAAGTTTTTTATATAGCGTTTTGTACAAATCACAACAACCAGGGATTGTTCCTCTGAGGAGGAGGAATGGTGAGGAGGAAAATGAGGAGGTGGAGGAGAGCGAGGAGGATCCTCCTCCTCAACTAAAGAGGAAAATGTTTTTAGCTAAAAATGATATTTTTGTAATAAAAATAGCCCTTTGAGCAAAAAAAACTTTTCCTCCTCAGTTGAGGAGGAGGATCCTCCTCGCTCTCCTCCACCTCCTCATTTTCCTCCTCACCATTCCTCCTCCTCAGAGGAACAATCCCTGACAACAACAAATACATATGAAAAAAAAATGTCATTATTTAGAATCAAATATGAATAATTACAAATTTATGGTATATTTTAAAATGAATGTAAAACACACACACACATACAAAAAAAAAAAACATTCAACAAGCGAAGTTGAATATTGGAACGAAAACAATAAACAAAAGACATGTAAAAAAGACATATGGATAAATAGTGCTGGACTTCAAACCATATTAAATAATAGTGCCTTCAATTGTGTTGATAAACGAATGTATGTAAAAAGGATGAATTTTCGTTTATGCTTCGTAATAATTAAAACGTGCATGCCGCGCCACATTCTTAAATTGTTCAAATATTTTTTTTATTTTTTGGACGATTTATGTATTTGAGAAATAAATTTGTTATGTTGTTGTTAAAGGAGCATCTATGGAAGAAAAGGAAGAGACTTTTTTTATAAATATTTTTTTCAAAGAAAAGTGTAATGTTTACACATTTGGTGGCATGAAATGAAACATTAGTCAAGTACATACTAGACGAGACAAGTCAACAAAGATAAACCAGAACAGGCAATAACAAACAACCGGATAGCTGCAGCGCGAGAGAGCATTCTTCTTTGAATAAAAAAAAATGGTTTGAATAACCAACGTACATATGTATCTGAAGAGATAGTTTATAGAAATGTGACATAGTAGTTTTGCCTATCGTTCAATTTAAAACTTTATTTTTCTCTTCTACTGTTGCTCGTTTGCTTTTTTGGCTCTCTTGTACATTATGACGTTAATAGAAACATTTATGAATTAAAGATTTCTTGAAAAAAGAGCAAAATAAAAAACATGAATGATTGATATTCTTCTTCAACCGTATTGAATTCTGAATTGTTTTATGTGTGTGCATTACATG